CCCCCAGCCCCCGCTGCTCTGCAGCACCCAGGAGATGCAGCCTCCCACGTCGCAGACCCAGGGCAGGGATTTCTCATGCAACAGAAAACCAGGCAGATGCAAAGCCTCCAAAATACTCAGCTTTAATGTGTAAACTTGCAAAGAGAGACCTGGGAGCAGAGCGGGGGTGAAGGAGGCACCGGGGCTGGTGAGAGATGAGCAGCTGGGGCGCAGGGCCAGGGAAGATGCTGTTGGGGACGGATGTGCCGGACGGTCCCCAACTCCTACGTGCCCTCTGCATCAACTCTTTGGCTGCATAACCAAATATCCACCATCTCACCACCCTAGGTAGCACCTGGGGGAGCCAGCAATGTGCTGGGGGGGTCGGCAGGGCCAGACTGAGCACTGGGGATGTGCAGCAACGTGGGGCTCAAGCCTTGCACCCTGTGCCCCACCGGTGCCCAAAGCAGCGGCGTTTGTTGGCTGAAGCATCTCAGGCATCTGGTCTCCAGAGAGTGGGTTTCAGCTGCTATTTGCCAGCGGCAGGAAGAAGCAGTTGTTTTACATGTGCAGTGAAAGGAGAGCAATCCAGCCCGCCCTGGCACCCGGCAGGCACGGCAGCCCCAGCCACCGTGGGCACCCCCACCCCACCAGCTCCAGCCTGCATGAGCCCAGAGATGGTTTTGTCTGGAGGGATTGAAGAGGAAAAGTGCTTACCAGGTGAAAAAAAAAATATCTGCAATCCCTGTGGCTATAAGAGGGGGAAATAAAGTTTTTTTCCAAATTGCTCTGCGTACTAGAAGTGCCCCACGCATCGCTCGGGCACTCCCAGGGGAGCTTTATTTCTCATGCCAGCTGCAGGGCCAGGGAGGAGGTTTGGTCAAATGCTTCCCCATCCCGGCCCTTCCCTCTGGCAGAACCAGGACACAACAGAGATGTTGCTGCCCTCAGGGCAGCAGAGGATAAAAGCCAACGGCAGCAACCACAGCAACGAGGAGCCACAGCTGAGCATGGGCACCCAATGTACCTTGACATGGGGTGGCTTAGCGGGGCAGAGCTGTGGGTCCCTGGAGGGAAACCAGAGCTCACCAGCTCTGGGGACACATGGGGTTGGATCAGGCCCAAGAGCAGGGATGGCTTCAGGGGAGGAGAGGGCCAGGGGCTGCGCAGGGGCTCATCCATGGCACACACAGGCCCCTCCAGCCACTCCAAGGGGCCTTCAGCCAGGTGTGGGACCGTGTCCTGCATCCTGCTTGGGTGATGGAGGCATCACTGTGGCTCGCTGGCCAGGCTGGCAGTCATCACACCGCGGGTACTCCCCCGATGGCACACAGTAAGCTCCAGGCACTGCCTCGCAGGGCAGCAGGATCCAGCCCCTGGGTCCTGGTGCGGTGGTGACGGCTCTCCTCATGCAGGCTCTGCTCTGCCATATTGTCCCATCCACACTTGGCTTGTCAGAGCCTGGTTCCCTTGGGTGCTCGAGGGCAGGATTGGGCCCCTGCTTTTCTCCCTCCTGGCCCTGGGGCTGCTGGCTCCTCCTGGCCACTCTCAGGCGAAGGCACAGCAGCTGGATGTCTTCTTCTGCGACTCGATGTAGTCATGGATCTGGAAGCGGGGCTCATCCGATGGCTGCACTGAGCGCTGCTTCAGCTCCCTGGGGTGGTGAGGCTGTGTTATCTTCCCTCTGCCAGTGCCAGTGCAGGAGGTGGTGGGGTTGCAGGGGACACCTCCCTTGCCCAAGTCCCCCAGGTACTCACTTGGCAATGGCCAGGAAGGCCAGCTCCACGTTCATACCCGTCTTGGCGCTTGTCTCCATGAAAGGCACACCGTACTCCTGCAAGGGCAGCACAGCCCCATCAGTGGCCAGCCCCAAAATGCCCTCCTGCCCCTTTGAATTGTCCCTGTCACCTGGCTGAGGCTTGGGGGACAAGGTGTTATCCCCTCCCTGCCTTGCCCCGGGTTTTGTGTGCAAGTGGCTGCCACACTGCCCGTGGTAGAGCCAGGCACCGTAAGAGGGGATGACATGGGGTGACATGCAATTGTCTGGGGGGGCTGCAGCCCACCACAGCTCACCCTGGCCAGCGATGCTCCATCCTCTGTCCTCACAACCCTCTCGCTGCTCACGTCGGCCTGCCAAGGGAAAGAAAATGTCACTGCACACCAGGGCCAGCTGGCAGCCTGGGGGCATCTGGCAAGCAGTCAGTGTGGGGTACGCAGGGGGATGCCAGGAACTGGGGGCATCAGGGACCCAGGAACATCCAGTGCCCAGAGAAGAATCCGAGACCTGCTGAGCATCTGGGAACTGGTGGCATCAAGGATGTGGAGGAGCAACTGGGACCTGGGGCAGCATCCAGTACCTGGGGACATCCAGGACTCGGGGGGGCTTTTGGTACCCTGCTGGGCATCTAGTACCCAGCATCATCTGGGATCCAGAGGGCATCCGGTCCCAGGGGAAAATCCAGTACCCTGTAGGACACTGGGCAGCCAGCAGCATCTGGGATCTCCGGAGACAACCTGGCACCTGGCTGGGCATCTGGAAGTTGGGGCTACCTGGGATCTGGGGGTGCATCCAGGACTGGGCAGGCATCCCATATCCAGCAGCATCCCGTACCGGGAGCATCCCGTACCGGGAACCTCAGCCTCGTGCTGCCCCCCACTGGCTGCCAGGGCCACCGGTCGCCCCGGCCACCCCAAACCTCGGGGGTGCCCTCTGGGCCTGGCTGAGCCCGGAAAGCAGCAGAGCCCGGTGGAGGGTGCAGGCAGGGTGCTCTGGCAGGAAAAGGGCCCACCGAGGCCCATCCCTCCACAGCTACGGGGATGGCAAGGGCATGGCAGGGTGGACACGGCATGGCACGGCACGGCACGGCACACCTTGGGGTGAAGGAGGAGGGGACAGTGTACACACACCTTATTGCCCAGCAGCATGATGACCACGTCCTTCTGGGCGTACTCGTGGATCTCCGTCAGCCAGGCCTGGGGGGCATTGGGGTGTCAGTGAGCTCCCCCGTCCCTCCCCTCTCAGCCCTCACACCCCCACGACGATGGAGAAAATTACTTTTTTTTTTCTTTTTTTTTTTTTTTGCATGAGAACCATTCAGAGCCGAACAGCCCCGAAAACGCCCCGTCTCCTGGCTACGGCCCAAGCCTCGACATAGTTCACGTCCATCCCAAACCATGTTTTCTCCCTCCAGCCATTTACCACCTCCTGAAACAAAGCTCACCCAGCCGTGCAGCGCCCAGCCAGGCGCCCCGGGGACGAGCTCCCAGCTGGCTGGGTCTGGCCGGAACAACCAGTGGCTTACATGGAAAACAGGCTTCCAACCGCCCCAAACACCCATCAAACCACACAGGGCACCCACGACCCCGATCCCCAAGGGAGAAACACGCTCCTGATCCACGGTGGGGACTCACGCGGATGTTGTCGAAGGACATCCTGCTGGTGATGTCGTAGAGCAGGAGCAGGGCTGGAAAGGAAGAGGCAGAGACGTTGCCCCACTGCAAGGATGTGCTCTAGATGGTCTCCACCATCCCTTCCAGACCCCCAAACCCACCTTGGGCATCCCTGTAGTAGGCGTGGGTGACGCTGCGGAAACGCTCCTGTCCTGCCGTGTCCCAGATCTGCTGAGAAGCCGCCCTGGTGAGAGCGAGGAGGGGAAACCCCCTGGCTGGGGATGCCCCTGCAGCTCCCGACCCCACCGCGCTCAGCCTGGGGAGGGTTTCCAGCAATCTGGCTGGGATTTGCTCACCCCTTCCCAAAGCTCACCTGCAACTTCACCTTCACCCCGTCCACAGCCACCACTTTGTTCTGCAGAAGAGAAGGAGATTACGTTCATCAGCCCAGAGCATGCTTTGGTGGAGAGCTGGTGGGATCAAGCCAGCCTGCCCATGGTGCTGGATGTTGAAGCTTCATTGCTACAAACCTTGGACCTGCTGGGGGGGCTGTGATCCTGTGTGGGACATCCCAGAGCAGCATCCCCCCCCGTGCCAGGGTGGAAAAGAGCAAAACCAAGCCCTGACAGACACAGAACAGCCAGATCCCCACCTTGCTCATGTCCTACAGCCAGCACCCACGTCCTGTGGCTCCCAAGTCCCCTAATTAGCTGGCTAATGATGCCAGCTGCCCCACAAAGCCCAGGGACACCCACCCACTCTGGCTACTGCCGGGCAGCCCCGGGCTTGCAGCAGCCCTTACCTGGGTGGCCTGGGGAAATTCGGCAGAGCTGGGGAAGTGGGGAGGATTTGCATGACCATGCAAATGTGCATCTATTAATAACATCTTGGCCTGCTTCTATGTTTGCCCATCATAAAGCCTTGACCCTTTGCCAGGATTCCTCTGCTCCACGTGCCAAGGGAACCACCGATGCACTAAAAGTTTTGGCTGCTTGCAGCAACTCAAGGCTTTGGGATGCCGAGGGCTGCCTGGGGATGCTCAGTGGGTGATGCTGAGTGTCCAGCTCGGGTTTTTTTGCTGGTGGGAGCCTTGTTTGGCCCTTAAAGGTGGTGGCACACACTGAGCTGGGGGGTTGCAGGTAGCACATAGCTTTATCTGGCATGGCAGGAGGAAATCTCCTGGGTTAGGGTGGTTTGCACCTGGGCTGGGACCGGGGAAGAGAGGAGGCACTTGCCAGTGAGTGGGAAAGGCAGTTATCAGGGATTAACCAATTGCTGTACCCAACTCAGAAGCACAGGGACGTCTCTCCAGAGGCCAGAAGAAAGAAAAGCTGGAGTTACCGAAGGGCTATTTTAAGACTCTTTAAAGAATCATACTCAGAGGGAAGAGTCTGGAAAGAGAAGACCCCTATAAATAATTTGGTTGCCTGGCATTGTTTGAAATGGAAATTCAGCCCATGTGGAGATGACAAAATCTGAGGAAATGGGCTGAATAAAACAAAAACATGCCCTAGGAAACTGGAAATTACCTACCAGCAGCAAGCTGTGAGCTGCTGGGGGGGACACTTGCAGGAAGCAGAGCGGGTACGTAGGAGCTGACAACACCCCTGGGGCCACCAGCGCTGAGCCCAGCAGTGGGGCACAGCAGATTTTCCTTCTTCCATGACTTTATTGGAGGGACAGGTGACAAGATCCCTCCTCAGCCCTCTCCCCCAGCCCCTGCTGAGCCACCCCCCAATTTCCCCCCTGCAAGCCAAGAGCAGCCCAGGAAGAAAAAGCAGCAGAAACCCAGAGCAGCAGCAGCGGCGGCAGCTGCGGAAGCGGAGGAAGTGCCGACCACACTCGACACGTGTCGGCAGCCGTGGGCAGAGCCCGGGATGGGGACACCCCCCCGTGACTTCCAGCCTGATGAAACACTGCTCTACCCCACGCTGCAAACAGCTCTGCCCGCCCGTGCATCCCCAGAGAGACCCTGCAGCCGAAATTTGGCAAACGGAAAGGGGTGGGAGGGTTTAAATGGGATCAGGTGACCTTAACGACTCCTCGGCAGCCAACTTCAGCCCTTTCCAGGCACAAAATTACAGCAACCAGTGTTTCTTCCCGCCAGCCGTTGGCCTCAGCCTGCCTGCTGGAGTGTGCCAGCCCCCACCACACACCTCCAGCCCACACACCCAGCCAGGAGGGGTTAAATCGAGATTTTTGCTGATTTAAAGGCAAGAGGTGACGTTCCCAGCAGGCTCTTCCATCTGTCACCCCTCTCTCAGGAAGAGGTAAAAGGGTTTCAGCAAGCGCCTGCAGCCAGTTTGGAGATTATTTGGGGTGCAGAGGCTGGAAACCCTCATCCCCCCCTTCCCAGCGCCCCATCCTGGGCATGGTGTGGGTGAGGGGAGGCAAGGGGCCAGCAGCTGTGGTGGTCTCACCCGGAAATCTATGCCCACGGTGGCTATGAACGTCCCGGAGAGAAAGGCCCCGTCTTTGAACTGGAGCAGGAAGCAGGTTTTCCCCACGCCTGAGTCTCCGAGTAACATCACCTGCAAGATGTGCCCAGGGAGAGGTGTCAGCAGGACGGGGAGGCGGCAGCATCCCTGGGTGGTGCTGAGCCCCCTCCCTGGTCCCTTGAATCCCTCTGTTTCTTTTCCCCAGGGATGGTCCTGCAAGGTCTGGGGAGCCCCATGAGAGCTGGGGGTGGGATGGGACTCCCCGAGGGTGCAGCCAAGTGATGCCACTGGAGAGGAGGAGAACATAAGAGGAGAGCTGGTGGAAAGGCAGGTACTGCAGCAAGGAGAGATGTCTCCTGGCCAACTCCCAGCCCAGGAGGCTCCCGGGGAACCGGCTGCAACTCCCGGACATGGGGAGCCGCCTCCACCCACGCTTTGCCCCCCAGCCCGGGTGTGCCCAGCCCAAGGGGTGATGCATGGCTTGGGCAAACCCTGCCGTGTCCGGGACTCTTGCCCTGTGGGTGCCCAGGGCCCTGCCTGCTGCAGACACCAAAGCAAATACGGCGCCTTTTCCCCTCCTGCTAAGCAAACAGGCTCAGCCTGGGCTCCCTGGGCTGCTCTGGCACCGCTGGACCTGGGCAAGCAGCAACCAGGACTGATGCTGGGCTCAGTAAGCCTGCCCTTACCCAACGCCCCGATGCTGTGCTCTCCTCCCTCCCTCCCCAGCAGCAGCCCTTTCCTGCCCAGCAATAATTAACCTGACGCTGACTAGACCTGTCCCTCGCCTAAAAATGGCAGTGAGCAGGACTCCAGCAAGAAGGTCCGTCCCCTCAAGCCCACCCTGCTGGGATGCTGGGGCCTGCAAAGCAAACCCCAACAGCCCTGTTGCCCCTGGGACAGGTGAATGCGGCGAGCTGTCACCACCCTCCACAAGGATGGCACAAGCAGAAGTCCTCTGGGCCAGCACAGGCAGAGATGAGGGCTGGAACTAGCTGAATTCCTGCCAGTTCACTTTGCTAGTCAAATCCTTCCCCCGGGACGCCCCTTCCCAGCCCAGGCTGGGAACACCTCCCAGTTCTGCCTCCACCTCGCTCCAGATTAAGCTGGCGATGGATTTCCTCCCTCTAACACAAAAATCTCCCTCCAGTATCAGCCGGTGAAAGGAGTCAGAGCAGAGAGGATCAAGGGGAAGGAATAAAAGCAGTTTAGGAAAGGTGGCAGTGCACGGGACCACTTTGGGAGCCGGCTCAGTGAAGCAGTGGGAGGTCTCGGGGCTGGCACCGTTGGCACTGGTCTCAGCCTGGGGCTGCGTATTAAATTTTTGGGGGAAAAAATTCATCCAGCCTGTGGAGGGGGCTTCCCTGGGGCAACCCTTGGCCAATCTGGGCTGGGGAAGAGGGAAGCACTCGGGGAGGAGGGTGCCCACCCTGAAAGCTGGCAGGGGCATGGCAGTGTTTGCAGAGTGGGGCCCTGGACTGGCTCCTCTCTGGGGCACACACTGTCCCCTTCCCCGGTGCAGTGACAGGATGGATGGTGTCCTGCTTCTCCTGCCCTGTACCTTGGGGGGCACCGCTCCCCCGGCTGGCAGGAGCCCCCCCTTGCCTGAAGGAGGTCAGGAAGGGGTTTCAGAGGGCAGAGCTCGGCCGTGCCCCCTCCCCAGGGAGTCCCGCTGCCCGCCAAGCCCATAGCCCCCAAAGCCCTATTTCTGCAGCTGGGGCTGGGACCCCCCTCGCCATCTTGGGGCAGGGACACACCCGGGGCAAAGAGCTCCCCCGGGGCAGGGACCCCCCCATCCCTGGTCCCAGGGCTGGGGGGAAGGGGGGGTCCGCTGGGGCCGCCCCCTCCTTCCCCTTCCCCGACCGGCAGCCGCTTCCTGGGCGCGATCGCGGCAGAGGAGGAAACGACCGGCCCCCGGGTACCCCCCCGGGCTCAGGGACCACCCCAAGCTCCACTCGTGGCGGGGCTGGGGGGGGGATCCATCCCTGCTTCCCCCCCAGCCCGCACTCCGCGCCGCCTCCCACCCACCTTGCCGGCCAGTTCGTAGTCCTGGGGCAGCGCCGGGGGGATCCCGCTCCCCACCGGGGTGTCCCCGCTCCCCTCCGGGGGGGTCCCGCTCTCCGTCGCCCCGCCGGGACCGCTCATGATCCGACCCAAAACGGAGCCGCCGAGAAGAGGCGCCGCGGGGCCAACGGGAGTCCCGGCCCCACCCGGCCTGGCCCGGCCCGCCTTCCTCCTCCTTTTCCTCCTCCTCCTCGGCTAATGCCACCCCCAAGGCTGCGCTCCGGCCGCCTCCCTGCCCGGCCTGGTCCCAAAATGAGGAAGAGGAGGCTCAAGGCTAGAAACCT